CTTTTGCTTTTTACTTCCTACAGAAAGAATAATCTATATGAGATTAATCTAGAAAATTTGGACAAATAGAATGGGAGATATTTGGTTTCTAAAGAAAATGAAGGATGGATTTGGCACAAAATTCTTGGGCATGTCAACATGAAACATATTTCAAAATTAACCAAAAAGAGTTTAGTAAAAAGAGTGCTTGAGATTTCATGGAAAACCCATATTCTTTATGAAGCTTGTTAGAAGGGAAAACAAATTAAAAAATCTTTTAAATCCGAAAAGGTTGTTTCCATTTATAGACCTTTGAAATTGTTACATGTGGATCTGTTTGGTCCCACTAGAACCTTGAGTTTGGATGGTAAAAAATATGGATTTGTCATTGTAGATTACTATTCTAAACACAAATTGATATATTTCCTAACCCACAAACATGAGTCTTTCAAAGTCTTTGAAATATTTTGTAAAAGAGTTCAAAATGAAAAAGGATTTTGCATATCTGTCATCAAAAGTGAGCATGAAATTGAGTTTGAAATTTTTTTATTTCAAATTGTTTTGGGAAAAGAATGGTATCTTTAACAACTTCTCTTCACTAAGAACATCTCAACAAAGTGGGGTAGTTGAAAGATAGAACCAAAATTTATAAGAAATGACTAAAACTCTTATTTGTGAAAATTGTTTTTGGGCAAAGGCAATTAATACAACTTGTTATAAGCAAAATAAAATATTAATAAGACATTTGTGAAACAAGACTCCTTATGAATTGTGTGTCGGTCCCTACGGTTAGAATCTAGAAGGGGGGGTTAACTATTGTTGTTGAAGCCTTGTACGTACCAACACCATATAATATCTTAATACTTATTAGAGGATTTTATCCCTAACTTGTATGAGTGATGTAGAGAAAGAAAAATAAAGCATAAACTAGAAGAAAATCAAGAAAAAGGGAGGCAAAAGTAAAGAAATCATTTTAGGAATTGCAAATATACCATTTATTTGCAAGGTTGGACGCTTTATAATGACTCCACATCTCAGCAATTTTGCAGAGACTTTTAATCAAAACCACTGAATTTGTACCAGACGATCCAGCACTTTTTTTTCCACATTCATAAATTCCTTCCTCAATATCATCTGGCAGGAACCAAATACTGACAACTCTACGTTTCTCTAACCCTAGAATGCCTGGTAATCCCTTGAGTTCGGGTAAGTTCGATAACTCAAGTGTTTCCAAAGAAAGAAGTGTTCCCCTATAGAAATTGATCCAAGACAAATCATCCATAAAATCAACTTGCAGTTTCTTTAGTTTCCGAAACCCTCCTTCCTCAAAATGCAAATCTTAACCTTGATAAGCATTGTCACTAATGTTGAGGAACAACAAATTTGGCATATCTTTTAGTGATTCCAATGGATCATTAGTTAAAAAGGAGCCTGCCAAGGACAGTTTCACAAGATTTTGGAGCTTTGGAATCCAATTTGGAAACTTCTCTAACTTGCCACTCAAGCAAAGATTCTTAAGTGTAGGCTGGGGTGACACATAGGGCAAGTCAATCACTTCATTCATCTCCATTATTTCGATACGTAGTTTCTCCAAGGAGTGCATCTCATTCATCGAAGAACATAAAGTGGCTCCGTGTTTTCTGCTAAAATAATTTAAGCATAGATCCTTTAATTACTTTAGCTTTCCTAGCTCACGAATCACAACTCCATCAGAATCTATTTTCATTGTACATATCTGTTCGAGGGATGTCAGGCCTCCAAGACCATGCTTTACTGCTTCAAAGGAACATTTTCGGCTAACTCGAAGATGACGAAGCTTTCTAAGCCTTGTAATCTCTTCCAGCATCTCAAACGCTGCTACTGCTTTCACATCCAAGGTCTCCAAGTTTTGGAGCTTACCAATGGATTTTGGTAGACTTTGTATTTTTGTATGTCCCAAGCTTAAATACTTCAAGTTGATTAAATTCCCCAAATCTTCCGGAACATAATGTAATGGAGCATGATCAAAATTGAGTACCTTCAATGACATGTATTTAGTAGGGATTATCCTTACCAAGTTTTCAGATAACTCTTTAAGAGGGATCAATAAAATTGACCTAATGTATGAGCTTTCAATACTTACAAGTAAATCATCAGAATTTGTTGCAATTGTCAGGCGTTGAACGATCCCACTTGAAACGGAATCGTCATGCTCACCAATATACCGACCAAATCCTGTATCGTTGATTTTTCTAAGGATCATCTCATATAATAAGTCATGAACACTACATCGTTTAGGTTTACCATCAATGGTAAATGAAAATACTTGCACCAAACTTCTAAAGATCAATTCTAATAAATATTGTTGTGCAACTTCTTCCAATGTTTTCCCCCTTTCAGATTTGACAAACCCTTCGGCTATCCACTGCCTAATAAGTTTATCGGACTCAATTTCATAGTCCTCAGGATACATTCCAAAATACAATAAACATGATATGAGACTATTAGGATGAAAAACCTTTTATGAACAAACTCTTTCTTGTGAAAATCACAACTTTTGCTTCGATATCGTTTGACACTATCAAATTGTCTTCATTAAAACAAAGTCTTTTTCTCATAAAAGTTTTAAGTCTTTTGTAAAAATAAACTACTTCATCTTAACACTAATATATGTTAAGTCGACGAAGTAATTCTTAGCAGGTTTTGAATGAGACAAATATAATACATGTTGTTATTTCTAACAAGTGTGTTAGTGTTTCAGAAAAACATACGTACAGGAAAGATGAAGAATAGAGCATGTGCCACTTCCTACTCCAGAACCAAGATAAAGGGTAAAACCATTAAGCATCAGATGGAAAGGTCAAAAGAATGTGCCGAGGGTTACCATACACATACACATGTCTCTAAAAGGTCTCTCAACCAATAGAGGCAACTATATATATATAAACTCATGTCTATCCTCTTGTTTGAACGATGACTTTGCTTGTATTTCAACAAAGGTAAAGAGTTAAGAGAGATAATGGAGGTGGGGCAAACGAAGGGAGTGTTGACGCGTGATACTGGTGGCAGCCCAAACGTGGTTTCGGTCGAGAGATCTGGAACTGAACGGAGGACTGGAACTGATCAATGAGGTTGACGACGTTAGAGAGCTTTGGCTGAAAGGAGAATTCTGGTGGTCGAAAGAAGACGGACTTGGACTTGCGCTCTAAACCCTTGGGCTCCGGTGGTCGAGAGAAGACGGACTTGGACTTGGGCTCTAAACCCTTGGGCTCCGATACTCTCGTCCTTGTTTTTAGGTTTAGTAATGTAAGGCTCACTCTTTTTTCAAATTCAAGACCTTGAGTCAAATTAGCTCATACAACTCTTTTTTTTATCTTTGCCTTTCTTTAGTACCTTATTTTTAAATTGTACATTATAAATTTAAAAGATTTAATAGATTAAAATGTATTTATTTTAAATTTTAATTATATAAAAAAATAATTATTTATCATATTTAAACAACAAACTAGAATGTCAGAGACAACAAACCATACACTTATAATATAAATAGTTTGTAAATTATGATGATAATAAATTTGTTGATTTTTACATTAATCTTTTAGCGTGAGAAAAAGAAAGTAGATGAAGTGCTATCACTGTGAGAGCGACAGTGAAGCAAAACAGCGACTAGCACAAAAAATTTTGCCTTTTCTATTCCTATATATATTTTAATTGACTCAAGCAACTACAATTGGTTCAATTCAGATTTCCCTAAAAAAACATAAGTTAAAATTGACCCAAATCATGTTGTTTTAATTGGTTTGCCTTTGTCATTCTTCCCTCAACCCAAGATAATGACATTGAAAAGAAATATATGGAAAAAAAATCACTTTTAAAAGATTACGCATGAATAACAAAGATAATATTCTTCGCGACATAGTCGGATATTAAATGTTTGGAAGAGTGAATATAACACATTCAGAAATGAAGTTTCGAAAAGACTTTTAAATACTCTTAAAATTTTGGCTCTAAAATGCATTAAGTACTTTAAACAGAAATAAATTTCCTTAAATAATTTGATTGTAAATCCCTTCCAGAATTAAACAAGAGTGAGTCGTTTCAGAACAACAGTTGAAAAAACAAATTACAAAATAAGTGACCTAAAAGGTAATTTCCGATATTTCTTATGCAAAAGCCCATCATCAGCATCACCTACAACAAGATGGCCCAGGTCCGGACGACGAAGAGGCAACGAAGCCATCACAATTGGAATTTGAAACAAGAAATTAATAACAAGTTTTGAGGAGGAATCCTTGCCCTTACAAGTGGAATAAGAAGGCACACAAGTACAGAAATTCTTATTATAATCACATTTGAACATCAGAAACAGCTAATACACAACCTTTTTCCTTGGATTCTAAACTACTTCTGAATTAACAGTCGTTCAAAAAGCTTTGCCTTGCCATTTTCTAACTGAGGCCATGACTTGATAGATTGAAAATAAAAATGCTGTGAAAAAGCCATTTTCCAAATTGCACTTTTCCTAATTTGGAACATGAAATCAACCATAAATTTAGGCAAAATACTTTCTCTCATATGTGGAATCGGAATGCACCTAAGTAGCAGAAATTCTGATGACAATCGCATTTTCACATCAGAAGCAGCTAATATATCTGGTAATGATTAAAAGTCAAATGAAGAGTAGGCGAGCGGTTGAGATACTAAGTTTTACGAAGATATCCTATCAAAGGATATGGTTACAAGCTTATAGAAGGAAGGTAATAACAATTCTGCTATCTTGTCTTTTCTGATAAAAACAAGGTATGATCTTTTTTTTTTATTCTTTCCTGATCTTTTTTATAGGTGTTTTATTTTTATTCTATCAAAGGATATGAATGTAATTATCCTTTTGTATTGGTTTCATAGTGAGAGAGAAATATTCATTCTCATATTGTTCCTTTCCTTCTTCTCTCCCGATCATCTTTTTGTTTTCTATTATATCCCAAAAACAATTTTAGGAATGCATGAGTTAATTACATGGAAGTGAAACAGAGAATAAGCAAGAAGATATATCCAGGTTGGTAAATGACTCCATTCTCCACTTCTCTTTCTATTGATTATGAAACCAGTGTCTGTTTCCTGCCAGTTTCCACACTTTGTTTAGGCTTCACGGGTGGCAACTTTGATAATACCCAACTTGGTGAATTATTAAGCCACAGCACTTTACCAGTTTCCTTGTGCTTGAAATCAGGAGCTTTTTCATTCCTCTGATGATCAAAAGGAACTATTAACTCAACGCACAAAATCTAATACACTGATATAAACTTGAAAAGATTTAAGAACACGAGAGCAAATCCGAAAATGGGGTTACCTTATCTAATCTATTATCCCACCATTTAGACGGATTTTGCACCAAATCATTCCAGGACTCATCACCACCTAAACAAAATTGAGACGTGTACTTCAAAACAAAATAAGATGATGAAACATAAATGGAAGGAAAAGAGAAATGAAAGTAGGACTTTAGCAATCTAAAGTTGCAGAGCCAAAACAAAAAGGAGGCATAGAGCAAAACATAAAAATGAAGAACATCTCCAAAATGCAAAATCCAAAACATTTGATTTGTTTAGAATTTAATATGCACTCAATCACACCAACAATTTATTTGCACCAACTTTATAATACATCACAATTATGACTGTGATACACAGAAAGTCCTTTATGATCAAGAAAAAGTTATTTATACAGACCTTTAAAGTCCTTTGCTTTATTGGATTTAGCAACCGGTGAATCAAATTCAAGTCCTTCCAGTTTAGGTAAAACCCATGTTGTAGCATTGTTAAGCCAGAGGGAAACACTGCCATCCTTGCGCTTGAAATTAGGATACTTTGGATTTACCTGTACTAAGTAGACACATGTAAAACTAGATAAATTGGTCAAAAAGAGAAAGATACAAGTGTTGAGTCGTCAATCACTACCAATCCTTTGAGTTTTTTGTCACGGAAGTCACTCCACTGCATCGGATTATCTAGAACGTCTGTCCAAGAACTCGTCAAAGTGCTTGGGTTTTTCTTTGCATTGGCTGTAAAAACAAACCAAATTGCAAATTTTTGAAATGTTCAAACAACCCAATTAACCAATCAAGAGACATATTTAACACACATATATATACTTACATATTGAGTGTTTTGGTTCAGGTTTCAAATCAAATGTCATCGACTCTAATTTCTCTTTAAGCCATTTGGGAGTTGATGTATTGATAAAGAGTAATTCACCATCTGTCTTTCTTTCAAAAGCTGCACCTTTTGAATTATCCTAGATTAAGTTGCAACAGATGTTAAAATACAAATTTGAAGGAAGCATCATCATTTCAAAATACCAAAGTCACAAAAGTGCAAAACAAACGAAGGAGAAAATCCCCAACCTTTGCAGAACGAAGATCCCACCATTCAATGGGGTTATCAAGAAGATTTTTCCAAGATTTGTCTATGTCAACCTCCTCATTTTTCTTGGCATGGACATGCTTCCTCAATGGATTGACGTTGTGCTTCTCACTTTCTGATGAGATTGAAATGGAATATCACCAAAAGAAATATCAAAACCGTGGATTTTATAGCTAAAGCAGCACACACTGATACAAAATTTTCGCTTTCATTGAACATTATGAATAATAGCTATATTGCTTCATATTAACTTGGTCTCCAAGGTTTTCTCTTGTCTCGATTAGGAGGATACCTTATCCTCCTTATAGCTGCAGTTTCCCTCCTTTTCCTCAATTAAAATTCCTTTTACTATATTTTACTATAAACACAAAAAATCAAATTATCTATAATTTGGACTAAACCATTCAGTCCCAATTTACATTGCATGATGTCTTAAGAATATAAGCTTTGGGCCTAACTTAAACCTAAAAAACTGATTACTAAAATAAGATTGTCTCACTTATATACTTTATTTAAGTCTTATTTTTAGTCTTCGCGTCATTAACTAAACATCTCAAACACAAAATTTGTAGAATGTTCTCGGGACATGTTATGAATGTGGGATTTTAAGTTTAACTAAACTTTATAAAACCTTTTTGTATGATGAGAATTATCCCTCTTATATACTTTATTTAAGTATTATTTTTAATTGTTGTGAGATCTCCAACATGATGCTTGACAATACATACAATACACAAACACAGTGTACTTGTTCATCAAAAAAAAAATCAAGAGGCGAATTAGAAATAAGAAATGAAAAAGAAGGAGATACCAGGGAAAGAAAATGTTTTCTTGTTTGAAATTGAGGGTGTTGCATTGTCAGAGTTGGGAAATTCCTTAGACAAAGTTGAGGGTTTGCACCATAACTTAACAGACGCGAGACGAAATAAACGAGAGATACTAAAGAAGTAATAAAAAAAAGTTGGAAATAATAATACGAAGAGACATGAAAACTAATTTGTATGATTTCGTACTAATTATCATTTTCCACTAAAGTATTACATCAATAATTTGTTAAATAGTTAAGATAATGGATGACAAAAAATATACAATTAAAATATTGAATAATTAAAGTTGAAAAAAAATCAACGTAATTCAAAAATAAATAAAAAATAAGAAGAAAAAAACGTAATTGGAGTTATATGTTTTATTATAAGTCAAAATATTTTGGGAAGGGCATTTAAATTTATATGTTATACGTTCAGAAGCTGTGAACATAATTTTTCTCGCTGAATACAAATAGAAGCAATAATATATTTTGAGAGTTTAATTAAAATATTTATTGAGAAATTTAAAAGAAAAAGATTTATTTCCATTTAATGGCATCGCAGATAACCTGAAAACTGAGTTTAGGAGTGTCTTGTCCCTTATTAAGCAGGAGTTCCATATCTTTCAGGTTCTTTAAGACAACTAAATCAATCTGCACATTTCTTTTCAAAGTTTACCACATTATATCTCTCTTTTTAACTAATGTTACCACAGTTACTTTTTCACGATTGTAATTTTTCATATTTTTCTTTCCCTTTATTTTTCATGTACTATTTTTTTCTTTCTATTTTACGTATTTAAAATATCATTCAGAACTATTAGTGTTAACATATAATAGTGAGGGGTTCAGGTAATATAAAAATAGTAGGTTCAAATTAAACCTGTTATTTTAGGTTTTCATACTGATAATTAAAAAAATCATATTAAAAAAGAAAAAGAATTGGGTAATAATGAAAGGAGTTATGTAAAAACCTTTCTTGTGTGGGACTAGTGTGGGAGAACACGGTAGAAATTTTTTATCGATAAAACTAAAATATACAATCGGACTATGCACTATACAGATATACAATCAGGCCCATCAAATTAGTGAAATCATATTTTTAATAATTTTTTTATAAAATATAAGTTCAATAATTTAATTGTTATATTTGATGATATTATTAATTAGATTAAATATAATTATATATAATTATAAAATTATTTGGTACTTCATCATATCAATTTATTTTAATGTTTAAAATGAAATTCAAAATATATATAAATATTTATTATTAGATAACATATTTAAAAGAGTCTAAATCATTAAAATTTGATATATATGATTATGAATGTAATATCATTATTAAATATAATGGCTAAAATAATTAGATTTACACATTTTATAAAAAATATTAAAAATATCATTTCATTAATTTGATATCATAATGTCAAGGAATCATGACCTTCTCCCCCTATATATATTTATGTGTATGTGTGAAGAGATTTACTCACTCTAAAAGTAACTTTTTTGTAAATTCATTTCGCTCAATAACTTATAATTTACATTGAATTTCAACAATTTAATTATCAAATTAAAAGTTTTTTAATAAATAGATCAAGTTCATAAATTTTTAAAAGAACTTGAAAACTATTTAATTTTTCATTTAATTAATTTAAATTAATGAATATTCATAAAAATAATTTATATATTAACTTGAATATAAATAATGAAATATTATATGATTTTCAAATTTTATAAAAAATTATAGAGTTAAATTATTCATTGATAACTTATAATTAAACAATTAAATTATTAAAATTTAATATAAAATATGAATTATTGAGTAAAGTAAACTTCTTATTTGTTTTCATGTCCATGACATCCAAAATCAATTTTGTTTGTTTTCATGTCCATGACATCCAAAATCAATTTTGTTGGATCTAAAATCAATGAAATCGCATTCCAACATTGTTTGAATGTTTCACAAAATCAATTTGAAGATACTAAAATTCATATTCTCTAGGAAGCAACCCATACTAGCTTCTTCATCAAACAAAATTGACTTTTGGACTTTTGTTTACTTAAATTTATTTTTTATCCCTCATTGTCAGTTGTTTCTATTGTTCTTCAATATGAGAGATATTTGGATTTTTGGTTATTCCAAGTTGTCTTGTGATTTTTTCTCCCTTTTTTTTTTACTAGTTTTGGCCTCTTTAATTAATTTTACAAATTTGATTTGTGGAATTGACTCATGCCTTTGTATGAGTTTTAAAGCTTAGGAATGCATTTATGAAACTAAAAAAGCTTCACATTAATTACATTTATGGAACTAACTCGTACATTAGTATTGTAAAATATTTATTTTTATTCAAACTAGTATTACAAACATATTAAACTTTATTTTATTATTCTAAACAAAAGATGTCTATATGAAAATAATATATAGACATGAATACTCATTTTAGTAATTACACATTCAAAATCAATTTTGATAACAAATTTTTAAATAATATTTAATATGAGAATCACGTCTATATCTTTTATCATTCAAACAAAAATCACGTTTATTTTAAATCAATTTTGTAAATTCACATAGATTCAAATCAATTATGTCGATCCATATCCAAAACATGTCCCAAAGCCAAATCTACCAAAACTTATTTATGAAATAAACATGCTCTCCTACTCTCCATATATACACTCATCACATCCTTAGATAATTTTAGTTAGGTAACTTGTCTCTTGCATGCATCTTTGAAAATTTTCAAGGCCGCATGCATAGCAATGATGAGCATCCAGGAAAAATTGGTAGAGTGTCCACATCAGATATAGTAGGAAGAATTACTTGCAGGTTTCTTATAGCCCAAAAAAAAATATTGATTAGATAAATATGATGGAATGGGCGATAGAGGTTAACCGGAAGGAACAAAATTCCTTTCTCACGTTTTTCTCTTTTAGAATGTGAGACAAATAACATTCACTATAGTGTGTGTTTCTTCATTCGTTCAAAGCATTCACATAGAAGGACAAAATTCCTTTCTCGCGTTTCTTGGCTTTAATTTGAAACGGATAACAAATGGTTAAACAAATTTGATTTCTAGTGTGAGAATTGATATTAATTACGCTTTGTACTTATAATCAGAGGGTTCCATTTAATCAGGTTGAAATATTTTATTGAATAAAATAAAATAGAATATAAGAATAATGTATTCAGAGTACAAAAACACTAGCAAATACTTAATATACAATTTCATCAGTAATAGTCATTTGGCCTTCAATGGAGAAATAGGTGGCAAGTACCAACAAATTAGTTCACGAGTTGAGACAGAGAATGAAAGTAACCTAACCTCCACCGGATAAGAGTTTGTTTCTTTCGTTATTAATATCAGATTTTAAATTTGATGTATTGACATTGTTCATGCTCATGCATTTTCTTACAATATTATAAGACTTTCTACGTATTGGTTGTAAAAATTGCATAATTACAATGCATTAAAATTATTTATACTGATGCAAGAAGAGACCACAGAAAAAAGTGGTAGGAAAGAATAATTAAAATAATGAGAATAATACAGTCACGAGACACTACAAAACAAACCACCTACCCTCCACTCTTTCTCTCTGAGCTGTGCCTGCCATGTGTTGAAACTTTCTTCTGAAACTCAACACTGGTGTCTGTATTTTCATCCTATAAATCAGAGCCTTTAAGCAAAACCAAGTTTCACAAACTTCAATTTAGTCTCACTATTCTACAAAACATGGTTCCAACCCAGTATGTTCCTCTCATCTTTTGTTGTACTTTTGCCTTCATCTTGTTAACCACTCCTGTATGTGCCCTCAACATAGGAGCTGAAACCACTGGAGTAGCTGTCTCTGTGGTACACTTTTTGCTTAATTAAACTCACTTAATTTAGTAGCATATACAATTAGCACTTTCCTATTATATTTCTTTTATTATTCTATTGTAGAGCAAAGAGTGCAGCAGACAATGTGAGTCAAGTTTCTGCTCAGGTACATGTCTAATCTAATTCCATTATTATTATTTTCTTCTTTTGAAAATTTAGCAGATTGGATTATTAAGGTTTACTGCGGAAAGAGGGCTAATATCAACACTTTGGAATGACAGTGCCTCCATTATTGAGATATGGAAAGTACTGTGGACTTTTGTATAGTGGATGTCCTGGTGAAAGACCTTGTGATGGCCTTGATGCTTGTTGTATGAAGCATGATCAATGTGTGCAATCCAAAAACAGTGAGTTCTATAAATTGCTTCTTAATTAAGACTTGGATTCCAGATTTACTTGAATACTTCCAGTATAAGATTCTATTTGATCTGACACTCTGTAAGTGGGATTAATGGCCTTTCAGAAAGTAGATCTTCAATTAGGGTCTTTTTTTGCACTGTTTGTCTTTATTTTGGTAGGGTTGGTATTATCTTAAATCTGAGTTTTGAGAAATCCATGAGGAGTTGTTTTGTTATAGATACATTAGCCCCAATGGTATTATTTGAAATTTTCACTAAATTAGCCCTAATAATGATAATAAACCATTGAAATAGATATAGCAGGAAATTGAATCAGTCTGCACTTTCTGTTGCAAGAACATGGCTTTGAAAATTGTTAGGTTGGAGAGGGTGAGAATTGCGACAGAGAGGAATTCAGGTAGTGTTTTGTCTAGTTCCTCTTTTTCTTAAAGGAGAGAGTGGGTTAAACACAATTTTAAGACAGCTCTTAGAAGTAAAATAGCGTTTTGCTATCAAATAAAAGTCCATTAGAAACTAATTAGAAAAACTTTTCACTCATAAGAAGAAAAACTCAAACAGAGCTGGACCAAACACTACATTAGAAGAAAGGCAAATATGCATCTCATTGTACAAACCAATTTTTAAAAGTAGTTTAATCCAAGGAATCCTTTTTAAAGTCTTCAACTAAAACGAAATAAAGATGGTAATTGGCTGATAGGGATTCTTTACTTAATTTCTTACCAGTATCCTAATGTGTCCAGCATATGCTATGAAGTTTATAGACATAAATAGAATGTAATACCTTCATCTAATTACATCATTTTTGGATGACAAATTCTGACCATGGTAAGTTTGTTATGGAGCCAACTTAATTGGCATGATCGTGACCCTTATTGGATCCCTTCTCCTTCACTCAAAGAAAATGCGTAAGAGGACGTGTTGGTGGTAACAACCACTAGTGAACTTTGTACCCCACAAAAAGGCTTATTGAACTAGCACTATTTTGTCCAATACTTGAACAATAAAATCCAATTTTTCTTTGTGATTAAGGTTACAGAATAACTTGGGTGTACGTGTATCTAAGCAGAGATGAATAAGGGTACTTATGTTAACTGTTGATTAATAATGTTGGTGTTATGCAGATGACTACCTGAGCCAAGAGTGCAGCCAAACATTCATAAACTGTATGAATAAGTTTAAGGACTCGAGGGCGCCAACGTTCAAAGGAAACACATGCGATGTGGATGATGTTATTGAAGTTATACATGTTGTGATGGAAGCAGCTTTACTCGCTGGAAGAGTTCTCCACAAGCCTTAGAGACCTAGTAATGTCTGTCTTATGTACTTACTTTCTGATTCTTCCTATTGTTTTTAGTAATTCTCTTATCAAATTAATCAAACTCCAATGTTTTATTTATTCTCTTTTTAAGTTTTAACACACTCTTCTAATTATTATGTCAGGTCTCAGGTTTGAGAATTAGAAAAAGAAAAAACAGAACAAACATGAGACATAATCCAGTAATAATAAAGAATCTTTAAAAGAATATTGAAAAAAGTGTTTTGGTACCATTCCTCTTTATTCATCCATTTCTTTTCAAAGTATTTTCCGTCATTCTTTTGATCTCCCACCTCTCACAAATACAGCAAACACATTTTCTTTGTTTCTTCCGTTTTTCATGTGATGAAATTAGTTTCGCTTTTTATAAGATTCCCTTTTCAGTTCTGAATGGCTATTGTTTTCATCTGTATAAACTATCAACAAATGAAAGTAAGCATGGATAAGCCAACTCCATCTTGAAAAGTAAATCTCAATATCAACTTTCAAAATTCTTCACTTTCAATCAAAACTGACTTGGAACCAACTTTTTTCCAACAATTTTGTTGGTTTGATCTTTGGTGCTTGTGGCCAGCATAATAATCTAAGATGTAAGTAGTTGTCGGTTTAAGATTTTATCCATGGGAGTTTTACATATCTTAGTTCTTACATTTCAAAGCAAGTTCAGCAAAAGGTTAAACAGAAGCATTTAAAGCGTTTGTTTGGTTTTCCATTGAAATAGAGCTTAATTGATGTTTGGCTTAATGGAAAAACGTTTCCTTTTGTTTTCTTTCTCTTTTAGCGCGAGAAAAAGAAAGTAGATGTAGTGCTATCACTGTGAGAAGGACAGTGAAGCAAAACAGCAATAAGTACTTGACTAGCACAAGAAATTTTGCCTTTTCTATTCCTATATATTTTAATCGGACTCAAGCAAATACAATTTTATGTTGGTTCAGTTCAGATTTCCCTAAAAAAACATGAATTAAAATTGACCCAGAGCATATTGTTTTAATTAGTTTGCCTTTGTCATTTTTCCCCGCAAACCAAGAGAATGAAATTGAAAAGAAATATATGAAAAAAAATCACTTTTAAAAGATTACGCATGAATAACAAAAATAAACCTTTTTTAGAATAAGTATCTTTCAAAGATAATATTCTTATAGTGTGTGTTTGAAACTACATCACCTCATAAACAAATATTTGTAAGAACTACATCACGTTAACACGCACATAGTTGGATGTTAAATGTTTGAAAGAGTGAAAATAAAACATTCAGTATTGAAGTTTCGAAAAGACTTTTAGATACTCTTAAAATTTTAACTCTAAATTGCATTAAGTGCTTTAAACATTTCCTTAAATAATTTGATTGTAAAGCCCTTCCAGAGTTAAACAATAGTCGTTTCCAAACAACAGTTGAAAAAAACAAATTACAAAATAAATGACGTAAAAGGAAATTTCTGATATTTCTTATGCAAAAGCCCGTCATCAGCACCACCTACGACAAGATGGCCCAGGTCCGGACGACGAAGAGGCAACGAAGCCATAAAAATTGGAATTTGAAACACGAAATCAATAACAAGTTTTGAGGAGGAATCCGTACCCTTATAAGTGGAATAAGAAAGCACACAAGTACAGAAATTCTTATTATAATCGCATCTGCACATCAGAAGCAGCTAATACACTAGCTTTTCACTTGGATTCGAAACTACTTCTGAATTAACAGTTGTTCAAATAGCTTTGCCTTGCTATTTTCTAACTGAGGCCATGACTTGATGATAGATTGAAAATAAAAATGGCCGTGAAATTCTGATGATAATCACATTTTCACATCAGAAGCAGCTAATATATCTGCATGGTAATGATTACAAGTCAAATGCTGAGTAGGCGAGCAGTTGAGATACTAAGTTTTATGAAGATATCCCAAAAACAAAATTTTAGGAATGCATGAGTTAATTACATGGAAGTGAAACACATAGAATAAGCAAGAAGATATATCCAGTTTGGTAAATGACTCCATTCTCCACTTCTCTTTCCATTGATTATGAAACCAGTGTCTGTTTCCTGCCAGTTTCCACACTTTGTTTAGGCTTCACGGGTGGCAACTTTGATGATACCCAACTTGGTGAATTATCAAGCCACAGCGCTTTACCAGTTTCTTTGTGCTTGAAATCAGGAGCTTTTTCATTCCTCTGATGATCAAAAGGAAGGAACTATTAACTCAATACACGAAATCTAATAAACTGATATAAACTTGAAAAGATTTAAGAACACAAGGGCAAATCAGAAAATGGAGTTACCTTATCTAATCTATTATCCCACCATTTAGACAGATTTTGCACCAAATCATTCCAGGACTCATCACCACCTAAACAAAATTGAGACGTGTACTTCAAAATAAAATAAGATGATGAAACAGAAATGGAAGGAAAAGAGAAACGAAAGTAGAACTTTAGCAATCTAAAGTTGCAGAGCCAAAACAAAAAGGAGGCATAGAACAAACATGAAAATGAAGAACATATCCAAAATGCAAAATCCAAAAGAATGATTTGTTTAGAATTTAATATGCACTCAACCTCACCAACAATTATTTGCACCAACTTTATAATGCATCACAATTATGACTGTGATACACAGAAAGGCCTTTCTGATCAAGAAAAGTTATTTATACAGACCTTTAAAGTCCTTTGCTTTATTGGATTTAGCAACCGGTGAACCAAATTCAAGTCCTTCCAATTTAGGTAAAACCCATGTTGTAGCATTGTTAAGCCAGAGAGAAACACTGCCATCCTTGCGCTTGAAATCAGGATACTTTGGATTTACCTGTACTAAGTAGACACATGTAAACCTAGATAAATTGGTCAAAAAGAGAAACAAACAAGTGCTGAGTCGTCAATCACTACCAATCCTTTGAGTTTTTTGTCACGGAAGTCACTCCACTGCGTCGGATTATCTAGAAGGTCTGTCCAAGAACTCGTCAAAGTGCTTGGGTTTTTCTTTGCATTGGCTGTAAAAACAAACCAAATTGCAAATTTCTGAAATGTTCAACAAATCCAATAAACCAAATACTATAAAATAGAAGAGGGTCAAGATATATATATATATATATATATATACACATACACTTACATATTGAGTGTTTTGGTTCAGGTTTCAAATCAAATGCCATTGACTCTAATTTCTCTTTAAGCCATTTGGGAGTTGAGGTATTGATAAAGAGTAATTCACCATCTGTCTTTCTTTCAAAAGCTGCACCTTCTGAATTCTCCTAGATTAAGTTGCAACAGATGTTAAAATACAAATTTGAAGGAAGCTTCATCATTTCAAAATACCAAATATGAATTGCAAAAGTGCAAAACAAACGAAGGAGAAAACTCCCCAACCTTTGCAGAACGAAGATCCCACCATTCAATGGGGTTATCAAGAAGATCTTTCCAAGATTTGTCTATGTCAAGCTCCTCATTTTTCTTGGCATGGACATGCTTCCTCAATGGGTTGACCTTGTGTTCCTCACTTTCTAATAAGATAGAAATGGAATATCACCAAAAGAAATATCAAAACCGTGGAAGTTATAGCTAAAGCAGCACACACACTGATACAATATTTTCACTTTTATTGACTATCATGAATACTAGCTATATTGCTTCATATTAACTTGCTCTCCAAGGTTTTTTCTTGTCCCGATTACGAGGATACCTTATCTTCCTTATAGCTGCACTTTCACTCCTTTTCCTCAATTAAAATTCCTTTTACTATATTTTACTATAAACACAAAAAATCAAATTATCAATAAATTTGGGCAACACCATTCAGTCCCAATTTACATTGCATGATGTCTTAAGAATGTAGGCTCTGGGTCTAACTTAAACCTAAAAAGTTGACTACTAAGATAAGATTGTCTCACTTATATACTTTATTTAAGTCTTATTTTTAGTCAACGTGAAATTTTCAACACACTCCTCACGCCATTAACTAAACATCTCAAACACGAAATTTGTAGAATGCTCTCGGGACATGTTATGAATGTGGGGTTTTAAGTTTAACTAAACCTTATAAAACCTTTTTGTATGATGAGAATTATCAATGCTTATATACTTTATTTAAGTATTATTTTTAATTGTTGTGGGATCTCCAACATGATGCTTGACAATACATACATTACATCCATTTAACAAAGTGTACTTGTTCATCTAAAAAAAAAAAAAAATAAGAGGCGAATTAGAAATAAGAAATGAAAAGGAAAGAGATACCCGGGAAAGGAAATGTTTTCTTGTTTGAAATTGCGGGTGTTGCATTGTCGAGTTGGGGAATTCCTTGGACAAAGTTGAGGGTTTGCACCATAACCTAAGAGACGCGAGACGAAATAAACGAGAGAAACTAAAGAAGTAATAAAAAAAGAAGTTGGAAATAATAATTTGAAGAGACCTGAAAACTAATTTGCGGCGGAGTTGGATGTTGCAAGTTCGGTGGATCGGCGGTGAGATGACCGGCGATGTGGATGAAATCATTAAGCTTGAGATGGGCGACGGCGGTGTGAGCCAAATCACCCTCGAATATAACTGGAATCCTAATAGCATAAGAATAAGAAAAGGGAATGAGAGAGTAGCGAATTGGTTAGGTTTAAGAGTAAAGAGTAAAGAGTTAAGAGAGATACTGGAGGTAGGGCGAAAGAGGGGAGTGTTGGCGCGTGATAACGGTGGCAGCCCAAACGTGGTTTCCGTCGTGAGAGGTCTGGAACTGAATGGGGGAGTGGACCTGACCGATGAGGTTGACGGCGTTAGAGAGCTTTGGCTGAAAGGGGATTTCCGGTGGCCGAGGGAAGACGGATTTGGATTTGCGAGCGGCGTAGTACCGAACAATGAGATTCAAAACAGAGGAATCCCTTCTCAACATTAACACTCCACGCACTGAACTATTCATTTCGCTTATCACAATCAATCACATTTGCTTTTTGTCAAAACTTCTCTTTCTAAACTCTAAACTCTAAACTCTAAACCCTTGCGCTCGAATGCTGTCACACTGGGTTTTAGGTTTTCTATATCTTATATTATATGTACTAATCAACATTAATTAATATAAATGATATTATATTAAAAAAATATATTTATTTTATATATATTTATCGTTTTTAAATTTAATAAAGATTAATTATTATTTATAATAATAAAGGTTAAAATCATGATTAGAAAAAAATTATTATTACGTAGAACGAAAATGATTGCAACTTGCAAGGGTGTAGTTTAAATAATGACATAAATTAGAGTTTGTAACGTGGCATTAATTGTCCAGTGTTGTGGTGTTGTGTAGGATGAGATCTGAGAAGATAAATTAACAGCAACTACGGTGTGAAGAAGAAGCATGGCGGAAGAGCCTCTACTCCCACGCAGCAGCCATTCGACTTCCTCTTCCCGTCTCATCCTGATCATCGCCTCCATGTCCCTGGCAGCAGCATTCATCCTCGCACTCTACTTCTCATCCACCTCCTCCTCCCTCCTCCCCCACCCCGTCGTCATCCTCATCTCCTCCGACGGCTTCCGCTTCGGCTACCAACACAAAACCCCCACCCCTAACATCCACCGCCTCATCCTCCACGGCACCGAAGCCCTCACCGGCCTCATCCCCGTCTTCCCCACTCTCACATTCCCCAACCACTACTCCATCGTCACCGGCCTCTACCCTCCCCACCACGGCATCATCAACAATTTCTTCTTCGACCCCCTCACCGGTGAAAAATTCACCATGAGCACCCACGATCCCAAGTGGTGGCTCGGCCACCCCCTCTGGGAAACCGTCGCCGCCCACAACCTCACCGCCGCCACCTACTTCTGGCCCGGCTCCGAGGTTCACAAAGGCCCATGGGCCTGCCCTCCACGCTACTGCCAGCCCTACAATGCTTCTGTTCCCTTTGAAGACAGAGTCGACACCGTTTTGGGGTATTTCGACCTACCTGCTCATCAAGTTCCTTCCTTTATCACTCTCTACTTCGAGGACCCTGACCACCAGGGTCACCTCGTTGGACCCGACGATTCCGAAATCACCAACGCTGTCTCCAGAATCGACACCATCATCGGGAGGCTCATTCAGGGTTTGGAACAGAGAGGGGTTTTCGACGAGGTTCATCTCATCATGGTCGGAGACCATGGGATGGTTGGTACTTGCGATAAAAAGCTCATCTTTTTGGACGATTTGGCTCCTTGGGTCGACATTCCAAAAGAATGGGTTCACTATTACACTCCAATTCTCTCTATTCGTCCACCTTCTTCTGTTGATGCTGCTCGTGTTGTTGAGAAAATGAATCAAGGGTTGAACTCTGGGAAAGTTGAGAATGGGGAGAAATTGAGGGTTTTTTTGAAGGAGAATTTGCCCGAGAGGCTTCATTATTCAGACAGTGATCGGATTCCGCCTATAATTGGTTTGGTTGAGGAGGGTTACAAGGTTGAGGCCACGAGGACCGGTAACAAAGAGTGTGGGGGTGCGCATGGTTATGACAATGCGTTTTTCTCCATGAGGACTATTTTCATTGGACGTGGTCCTAGGTTTGCAAGAGGGAGGAAGATACCCTCCTTTGAGAATGTTCAGATTTATAATTTGGTTACTTCCATTCTCAACATTCAGGGTGCGCCTAACAATGGATCTGCCTCCTTTCCCAACTCTGTTCTCCTGCCTAGTGCATAAATGAAAGCTCCAAACTTAGATACGGGTTATATAGGTATTTCTTGTGTTGTTTTTGGTTAGAATTAGAGATTTCTCTAGATAATATATGAATGAAAATGGATTCTTCAATTTTGATTGAAAAACAACATCAAAAATACCTATGAAACTATGTCTAAGTTTTGCCCTGAATAGAACTTAGTATTAGATGGCCAAGCAAGCTGCATGAGATTTAAGTGAGCTCTTTAGGGTAGATGCTCTGAAATAAGAACACGATGAGATGAGATGTTGCAGAAGGAATAGGTGTAATGTATCATTTCCTTGGCTTAAACTAATTTTAGTCCGAAATTTGCTTTGATTTTTCGTATCTGTTGATGGGCCCTCCTTGTTTCATACTTTGACCGACGCAATATTGTTACTGTTTTCCACTTTTCCTTTTCTGTATGTGGTGTATAATTCAATGAGCACTGTCCGCATAAGTTTCATGTTTTCACCTTCTGTAATGGGGCAGGCCTCGTACGAATGGCATTGTTCCATACTTCCATGTTCCATGTGTTGAAAAGAAAGTGAGCAAATAACATAAATGAGGTTCAATGAATGGATGTTGAGCGGGATCCACAAGCAATGTTTTCCTTTTAGCTGATGTTGGGTTCAAAATATAAATTCTTGCGTATATAAATTAGATTCCCTTGTTTACTTACATGGAAGAATTGGATTTCCGTGTTAAGTACCATTTTTCGGAAATAATATTTGCCCAGTACACTCTCGATGACACGAGGGAATCCTTCATTTCCATAGTCCAATTGGTAAGAATATGTGTGTTCAACTGTATAATTCACGTTCTTTTCAATTGTATTGTGTTTGGTTTCACGATTGTGTTTGGTTTCACGATGAAACCATGTAATGCACATAAAAATAGAACATAAAAAAACATGTAATTCCTCTGTCCCTTGATTATAGACTCTTTTTAACTAAATTAAACTTTTAAAATAATTAATTAATTTAGTTAAGAATATTAAATTTATCAGTAATTTAACTCACTTTTTCAAAATTACTTTTAACATTTCTTAATTTAACTTTTTCTCTTTTTTACTTATTATCTTTTATCTAAAAGAGTTAATTAGATAAATGTATTTTAAAAAATATAACTAATGTATTTGACAATAAGAAGAGGTCTTGTAATAATTTTTTATGTTTAAAATTTGTATACACTTTTTAAGAAATATTTAATTCTAATATGTTAACCTCAAAATATCCTCATTTAATATTTTTAATAAGAATAATTATAAAGTAAGATTAACAATTATTAAACATGGATATGTGTAGAAAAGTTAATTAATATTATTTAAAATGTATAAAATAATAAAATATATATATACCAGAAAGAATATTAATTTCACTATATTTTACTATAAAACACAAAAAATCAAATTATCAAAAAATTTGGGCAAAACCATTCGGTCCCAATTTACATTGCATTATATCTTATGAATATAAGTTTTGGGCCTAACATAAACCTAAAAAACTAACTACTATAAGATTGTCTAATTTATATACTTTATTTAAGTTATATTTTTAGTCTACGTGAAATTTTCAACACACTCCTCATGCCATTAACTGAACATCTCAAACACGAAATTTGTAGAATGCTCTCAGGACATGTTATGAATGTGGGATTTTAAGTTCAACTAAACCTTATAAAACCTTTTTGTATGATGAGAATTATCCCTGCTTATATAGTTTATTTAAGTATTATTTCTAATTGTTGTGGGATCTCCAACAATAAAATATATATATACCAGAAAGAATATTAATTTCACTATATTTTACTATAAAACACAAAAAATCAAATTATCAAAAAATTTGGGCAAAACCATTCGGTCCCAATTTACATTGCATTATATCTTATGAATATAAGTTTTGGGCCTAACATAAACCTAAAAAACTAACTACTATAAGATTGTCTAATTTATATACTTTATTTAAGTTATATTTTTAGTCTACGTGAAATTTTCAACACACTCCTCATGCCATTAACTGAACATCTCAAACACGAAATTTGTAGAATGCTCTCAGGACATGTTATGAATGTGGGATTTTAAGTTCAACTAAACCTTATAAAACCTTTTTGTATGATGAGAATTATCCCTGCTTATATAGTTTATTTAAGTATTATTTCTAATTGTTGTGGGATCTCCAACATGATGCTTAACAATACATACATTACACAAACAGAGTGTACTTGTTTATAATAAAAAAATCATGATGCGAATTAGAAATAAGAAATGAAAAGGAAGGAGATACCACGGAAAGGAAATGTTTTCTTGTTTGAAATTACGGGTTTTGCATTGTCGAGTTGGGGAATTCCTTGGACAAAGTTGAGGGTTTGCACCATAACCTAAGAAACACGAGACGAAATAAACGAGAGATACTAAAGAAGGATGTGTAGAAAAGTTAATTAATATTATTTAAAATGTATAAAATATAAAAAAAAATTATATACCAGAAAGAATATTAATTTCACTATGTAGAAACACTATAGCACTAATGCAATGTGTAACATTATACGTTTTTACTAATTACTGTTGATTTTATTAAGATTTGTGTTGTGTTGATTTGATGTTAAGTCATTGAGAAACTTTGAAATTATGAAAATTTTTAAGGGTTTTTAGTTGTTTAGGGATATCTTTGAGCTAAGGTCAAGTTTGACCTTTAAGGGGAAGATACATAAGATTTCTTTTTATATTAGAGTCTCATAAGTTCATTTCTCAAAGAACTTTAAAGAGACAGTAGTTAAAGGAGCTCTAGAGTTTTAAAGTTCTTCCCCTGCTTCTTTCTAACTTCTCGAGAGTTGTAGAAGTTTGTGGTTCAGTATCGAAGAAGTGATCTAAAGCCCCTAGCTATGGATCATAGTGGTGCGAAGCTTTTCGTTGTGTGCTCAAAGTTTCTTGCCTTCTTCTTGTAACGACCCGCCCTAGGCCGTCACATCAATAAC